GCAACGTTGAATGTGGAGGGTGGGGGAGGCTGTGTTGCTGGGTCCCGTCAGCCTTAGGTCCCCAGCCCCTTCCCAATGCGTGCTAATTAACTCCTTAATTGTCTCTGCATTTGCTGAGCTGGCAGATGAAGTGCATGCAGACAGATTGGGGCGCGTGTGATTTCACGCACGGGGGAGCGGAGAAGAGCTGCCTGGAAATCCCAGAGGGCCTTGTCCCCCCTTTACCCTCCCTCTTCACCCATCTCTGAGAGGCTGGAGGGCGCTTCTGCACCTAGAGCAGATGGGGCCATCTGCAAGGGAAGCATCCATGGGGAATTTGCCCCCATCAGCCTTTCAGGGATGATCATAATGCTTGCCACTATTGATGGAACACCCCCTACTGTTTTCAAGACACACATTGTTTCAACAGCATGGGCATTAGCTGGGTTTTATGGTTTCTGGAGAAAAGTGAGACTCAGGCTAGGTTACTTGCCCAGGACCACACAGCACTAGTGTGACAGCTGAGATTTGAACCCAGGTGAGCACAAGGCCAAAGTCCTAAGTGGGTCCTGGCTAGATGCCTCCAGCCAGCAGAGGGAGGAATATCTTCAGGCCTGTTTCCCTCTCAGTCCCTGGTGGGGATAAAGGGTACTGAGGTCTAAGGACCGCAGGGGCCAGAGAAAATGAAGCATGGAGAAGAAGCTGGGAGGATGCTGAAGGAGCCAGTATCCTCTGTCAGGACTTGGACAAGGGGTGGGTGGGCCAGAGAAGCAGAAAGAAGTAATGAGACACTAATCACAGCCCTTGGATCCCTCAAGTGTTATCTTACTGAGGCCCTGCCAACATCAACTTCCTCTTTTCCTCATCCCTGTCCCACAAACCCCTGTCAGAGTGACTGCCCCCCTGCCTCTCCCTGCTGGCAGCCCTGGCTCAGCCCTCTATTTCACTCCCGGCCCTTGCACTAGAGTCACTGCTCAACATGTTTGTCTCTCTTTTCACACTGGGATACTTTGAGGGCAAGAACTCTGCCAATCCTCACCATGTCCACAGGGCCAATCTTGGGGCTTCATCCAGGAAAAGCCGCGGTGAAGGTTTGCTGCGATGTACAGGGTAAGGATGAGGGAATATGCGTGTGCAAGGATCCATCACTTCTCAAATGAAGAAGCAGCAACAGCATGAGGGATTTAGGTTGTATGTAAGAAAGAACTTCCTAAGACTGGGGCCTGTGACGCTATGAAACCATAATTCAGACCTATAGGTTCTGAAGAGCAAGGTTGCTCAAGATTGGCTACATGTTAAAGGCCTCAAAAAATTGGGCAATTGGCCAGGCACAGTGGCTCACGCCTGTGATCCCAGCACTTTGGGAGGCCAAGGTGGGTGGATGAGCTGAGGTTGGGAGTTCGAGACCAGCCTGGCCTACATGGTGAAACCCCAACTCTACAAAAGATACAAAAAAATTAGTCGGGCATGGTGGCGTGCGCCTGTAATACCAGCTACTCGGGAGGCTGAGGCAGAAGAACCTCTTGAACCGGGAAGGTGGAGGTTGCGGGAAGGCAGAGGGTGCAGTGAGCCGAGATCGTGCCATTGCACTCCAGCCTGGGCGACAGGGTGAGACTCTGTCTTAAAAAAAAAAAAAAAAACACAGTTGGGTGATCTGGGCCCCAGCCCCAGAGATTCTGACTTAATTGGTCTAAAGTGGAGCCATGGCATTGCAGTGTTTGTGGGGTTTTTTTTTTTGTTTGTTTGTTTTTTTTTTGAGACCGAGTCTCGCTCTGTTGTCCAGGCTAGAGTGCAGTGGCACTATCTCTGATCACTGCAACCTCTGTCTCCTGGGTTCAAGTGCTTCTCCTGCCTCAGCCTCCTGAGTAGCTGGGATTACGGGTGCGTGCCACCACGCCTGGCTAATTTTTGTATTTTCTGTTGAGATGGGGTTTCACCACGTTGGTCAGGTTGGTCTCCTGACCTAAGTGATTCACCAGCCCCGGCCTCCCAAAGTGCTGGGATTCCGGTCTCCCAGAGTGCTGGGATTGCAGGCGTGAGCCACCACACCTGGCCGGCATTGTAGTTTTATCTTATTATTTTTATTTTTTGAAATCGAGTTTCGCTCTTGTGCCCCGGCTAGAGTGCAATAGCACAATCTCGGCTCACTGTAACTTCTGTCTTTCGGGTTCAAACGATTCTCCTGCCTCAGCCTCCTGAGTAGCTGGGATTACAGGTGCTTGCCACCATGCCCAGCTAGTTTTTGCATTTTTACTAGAGACGGGTTTCACCATGTGAGCCAGGCTGGTCTCAAACTCCTGACCTCAGGTGATCCACCCTCCTCAGCCTCCCAAAGTGCTGGGATTACAGGAGTGAGCCACCACGCCCAGCTGGCATTGCAGTTTTTAAAGCTCCCCAGGTGATTCAAATGTGCAGCCTGGGTTAAGAACCAGTGCCTTAGATTCTGCCCTGGTTTGGCTGCACTGGTGGTTTTACCACTGGATCCAAATGCTACTGCTATTGATAGTTATTTACTTATTGGGGGATTTACTAGGTACATGCCAATGTACTAAGCACTTTCCATGCATTAGCTCACGTAATCCTCAAAAAAATCCTGTGAAATATCTCTGCCTTACAGATGAGGAATATTATCTCTGCCTTACAGATGAGGAAACCGAGGCCCAGAGAAGTCAAGGGACCTGCCTATGCTAATGAATGGCAGGGCCAGGTCTGGAAGCTGATTCTCCTGATTCATACCTTCTGTCTTCCCCCAGACTCCTCCTGAGGCTGCTCCTTGGCCTCAATCAGTCCTCGCCTGCCTCCACCTCACCTCATCACCTTCCCTCCACCCCCGCTGCTCCCTCAGTAACATCCCAGGTGACTGAAGCAATTTGCAGCCATTTGAAGAGGCTCCACGTGTCAGTCAGCCTGCGAGCGTGGGGAGGTGGGGAAATTACAGATGCTCCAAGATGGTGTTCCCCTCCCGCTAAGGATATTTGGAATTCAGGAATCAGACTCTGCCTGATGCTTCCTCAGGTCTCTGGGACCCTCCCAGGTGATTTCCCACTCCCAAATGCCCCCACGAGTTGATTCTAAGTATCTGGGAGAGGGCTGCCACCCAGTGGCTGCCCGGGGGCATGGCAACCTTCCAGCACTGCCTGGTTCCGCTGAACAGCTCCCCAACCAAAGACCTGAATCCAAGATCCTCCCTTCCTTTTGGCAGCTCCGTGTCCAGTCCCCTAGTAAATGGATCTCGACTTCCCTCCTCCACAGTCTTAAGTCCACCCTCCCACTAGGGATCTCCAGACCCCTTCTCTGGTTTCCTACATGTCTACTACTCCCAATGCCTCACAACTTCTCATCCAACTTCTTTCCAATGTGCCATCCCCTTCTCATTACAGGTTCTTTCTTCCAATTTAAAGCCCGGCATCATGTCCTAGGAATACACCTCTCACTGTCCTTCTCCCAGAGTCGCACCAGCCTGCAAGTAGAGCAAAGGAGCCACTAGAGACAGAATTCTGGTCCCCCGCACCCTCCTCCTCATCATCTGACACCATCAGACCTCAACAGCCTCTGTGCTAAGAGCCCCTAATGAGCATCAGCAAATTAACAACTTCCCCTTGATTGCTCCTTCTCTGTTAATTGGATAGGGAGGGCCCCCCAAGGCCTCTCAGAGAAGAGGAGGGAGGCAGGGAAGGAGAAAGGTGAGAGCCACAGGAGCAGTCCCCAGGCCTGGGTTCTCTGCTGAGACTTCTGCTCCATCCCTGAGCATAGCTCCCTGTTCCAACCCTTCCTCACCCTGTCCCCCTCACTCCCTTTGCCCCCTTCCTTCTGTCCAAATTCCCTTGACCTCTGGCTATTTTTCCTTCCTTTTCTCTGCTCCTTCTTTGGAGATTTGGCAGTAAGGGGTTGCGACGATGCCCCCTACAAGCCCAAAGCTACAAGGATGGGATCTAAGTGGTCAAGGCTGCGTGTTGGCTGACATATGTGCACGTGTATATGTGTCACATGTAGGTGGGGAGCAGGGATAAAAGCAGGTGAGTGCTTGCCATGTGGGTCAGGCCCCCGGGATACCTGGACATCTGTTGGTGGGGGGTGTGGTTGTGAATGGTGTGCTGTGACTCTGGTCGGTATGTGTGTCTGTCTCCATATGGGCTAAGTGCTTGAATTAGTCAAGTGTGATTCGGAGTGTGTGTGTGTGTGTGTGTGTGTACGAGCGTGTGTGCCACCAGAGGAAGCAGCAGCAAGAGGCAAGAGCATCGATCCGAAGGAGACAGCGCGGGGAGGGGGACGCTAGGGGCAGACACCCTCCCTCCTGCGCGCACACACGCGCGCGCGCACACACACCACACACCGAGTCACACACACAAGCCATAGGGCCTCGCAGGCAGGAGACGGCTCCGGGACTGGAGAGAGGCAGCTCCGCCGAAAGCTGCCGCGAGGAGGGGCGAGGCTGTGCGGGGAGTCCTGGGTCCCGCTCCCCGGTCCGGA